ACACACACACACACACACACACACACACACACACACACAGAGGGTGCCAACATAATGTATACACATTTTAAGAAAGGAAAAAACTGTATTAAAATTGTAATATTCAATATATACTGATAACAAAAGATGAATACATGTCATGTGTATACATTTTTTTGGCACCCCCTGGTATATCTATTAGAGTTGACATTCAATATTATTTGATATTAGTTTCAGGTGTACAGCACAGTGGTTAGGCATTTCTATAATTTATGAAGTGATCCCCCTGATAACTCTAGTACCCACCTGACCCTACACATAATTCTTACAATATTATTGACTCTATTCCCCGTACTGTATTTCCCATTCCTGTGACTATTTTGTGACTACCAATTTGTACTTCCTAATCCCTTCACCTTTCTCACCCTCTAAAACCTTTGCACACAGATGAAACCACTGGTAGGTCATGGATGCTGTGGGAAGGGACCCCAGGACTCAGCTAGAAGGAGGGATGGGTGCCGGGAGCATGAAGGTGAGCACTCACCAGATGAGGTCGGTGAAGCCTCTGTGCAGATGCATGGAGGACGAGGAACTGCTGAGCACAGACAGAATGCACTCCAGGTACAGAAGCTGCAGCTGCTGATTGTCACTGCAGAAGAACAAGTACACAGAAGTACACAAACGCATACAAAATACAGGCACGATTACACAGCTGATGTGCAGAAAACACTTGGAAAAACATTAGGCATTACAGAGGTGTTCATTTTGGGGGCGGGTAGTTAGTGTACTGGGTTGAATTGTGCGCCCCCCGCCCCCACCAAATTCCTAACCTGTGGTACCTCACAATGTGACCTTATTGAAAACAGGGTTTTTACACAGGGACTAGAGTTAAAGTGGGGTCAAGAGGGTGGGTTCCAATTAGATAGGACTGGTATCCTTGTAAAATGGGGAAATTTGGACAGTGATACACAGAGTGAAAAGACACAGGAAGAAGGTGGTCATCTACAGTCCTAGAAGAGAGGCTGGAATACATCCTTCCCTCTGTCCTGAGAAGGGACCAAGTCCACTGATAACTTGATCTTAGACTTCCAGCCTCCAGAGCTGTGAGACGATTAATTTCTGTTTTCTAAGCTACTCTGTTTGTGGTACTTTGTTACAACAGCCCAAGCAAACTAATATAGTTAGGGTGACTTTTTTTTTTTTTTAATGAACTTGAGTTTTCAGAACAATTTTAGATTTACAGAAAAATTGAGAATGGAAGAAAGGTACTATATTTTATCCACTCCTGCACATGGTTTATCCTGCTCTTACATTAGTATAGCACATTTGCTGTACTAATATTGATATGTTAATATTGATATGTTATTACTAACTAAATTCCACAGTTTATCCCAGAGATGTTAATTCTTAATATGTTCAATTGTCTAAACCTTCCAAAACACCAGTTGCCACATTATCTTTTAAATGGTCAATGCTTCACTAACTTGCATTTGACTTTTCTGATTTTTGAAGGCAACATGGTTTTTCAGTGGACAAATTATTTTTTTCAGACTTATTATTATGGGGTTAATCAACAGAGCCATATTAAAAACACAGACAACTTTATGGGGTACACATTCTTATAGCCAGGTTTCTGCCTCGCCCACCAGAAAGTATTAAAATCCAGGTGGTGTCAAGTACAAATGGGCGTACGGAAGAATTTAATGTTCAAGGACACATTTATGACAAATATGTAATAAATACTTTTAAGAGAATTCATTCAGAAATCCTATATGGAATGGAAATGCTCAGGTAAAGGAGAAACTTGCTTTTAAATATAATTTTTGGTTGTGTCTTTTTTCTCCTAAAGTAACTAAATGCCCAAAGGAAGCTTAGGGCCCTTAACAGTTCAAATAGCTCCCAGGAGAAGGGGGTGAAAGGGAGAGGCCAGGCCAGTAACAGGCAGCCTGGAAACTTAAGGAGACAGGAAGGAAGAAAAGTTAATACCCGGCCATCCCAAAGTCCAGACGGTTAAATCCACACAACTGCCAAACTGAGGAAGGCGGTGTAGTTGTAAGACAAAGGATCATCAGATAGAGGGCTGGGGGCCCTCATTTAAGTGCTATTAAATACCGTGGTGATATGACTCTAAAATTGACATCAAGATCTAAAACCGGCTGGCAAGCTACAGCCTGAGGGCAAAACCCTACTCATGGCCTGTGAACTAATAAAGACATTTACATTTTTAAAGGTTTGTAAAACAAACAAACAAAATGAACAGTGGACAGAATCAGGTGTGGCCCTTTATAGAAAAAGTTTGCTGACTCATACCCTACAATGATCTCCCTTGTCCACAGAGCACACTGTACAATGACTAAAACAATACCATTGTTTTGAAAAAGGAAATTCCACTTCTGTTTGAATGTGCTCTACAACGTCCTCTGAGGGTGGAAGGAAGGATGGGTAAAGGCAGAGTCCTGGCAAAAATTATTTTGCCAAGAGAAAGTTGATGGCTGGAGGAAGAGTAAGAAAGGCAAGACGTAATTAGCCACTCTTGGGCCAGGTAAAGACTTGGCATTTCTATGCTCTAACACCCACAGGCTTCCCTATGCTTTTAAAACAAAACACAGTCCCTGACTGCAATCAGCATATTCTTTATTCTCTTGGGACTAGAGAGGTATAAGCAAGTACATAAAACACTGTGTAGGAAGTGCTATAAATGAATAATTTAACACAAGATTCTATGAGAGCAGATAGCAGCGGCATCTAACCTTCCTCAGAAAGATCCAGAAAGAATTTCCAAAGGAAACGATATCTTAGTAGAGACCGAAAGTTCAAGTAGGAGCCTCGAATGGAGGCTTTTAGGAGGGGGTGTGTGCAGAGCATGGGATGGGGGGACGGTTTGTGGTGGGAGCACAGAGTAGAGGGGTGTCATTAGCAGGAGATGGGGCTGGAGAGGTGGGCAGGGGCCAGATTAGGAAGGTCTTGTAGGCTGTGCTAAGATGTCTAGACTTGATTCTGCAAGTACAAGAGCCACATGAGCCGATTTATATTTCAGACTGGTCATTCTGGATGTTGTAGAAATGAACAGACTGGAGAGGGCAAAATAGAAGGGCCACAACATCCATTATAAGCCACATTTTGAAAAATCAGCTCTGAAAGGACTGCCTTTACTATAACCCCAGGCTAATCTTTCTGACCAATCACTTGATTCATTAAGAAAAATAATTATTAAGTGCCCCAATTCTAAAACACCTTTTTATCTCTTAAACTGTCAACCTAGCATCACAAAACTAAAATAACTATAGACAGTAAAAATTCTCAGTTTCTGGAAATAAACCCATAGAAAAGATATGAACAGTCAAGGTCCTATGAGTATCTACAAAGCGTGCCACGGCAACCCCAAGGCATCAGACTCAACGAAGGGAGAACGCATTGCCAAGGTAACTGGCCCAGGAGTCTCCTTGGAGACCGATCGTGGCAGCTTTTCTGTGGGTTGCAGCAGTCTGAAAAAAAAAACGGATGCTCACGGCCTTACATGAGTCATGTCATTAGAGGGGCTGTTTGAAATGTAAGTGCCTTCCACACATGCCCCTCACTAGATACACATGCATGTGCACAGTGTGTGTTTCATATTTGTCTGAGTGTAGACAGACCAATATGTGGGATGCACAAGGCAGAAAGGGGCCTAGAAGGCAGTCAACTCTTTCAAAACACACTAGGGAAGCACCTGTGTACTTTGTGAGTCACTTTGCCTGGTCTTTTGTTTGAGCATTTCATGGCTGGCAGGTTAAGTATCTGCTCATTTGCTGCTCATCTCTGAATTTCTTCTCAGGCACATGATCCATGGAGAACCACTCTCATGAGTGGACCAGTGCACCGTGAGGACGAAGCAGCCACTGGTCCGAGCAAGGCAACTGTGCAGGCAATCGGGCAGCACATTCGGGATCTGTGGAGCTCTTAGAATTCTGTTTTATCTTGAGCCATTTTGACTTTGCTTCCCTTAGAAATAGCTGGAATTTAGTTAGGAAAAGGAGGCAGGGGGTTAAGTAATTGTGTCATCAGTGGAATGGAATCAGAATACACAATAAAAACACTTAGCTTTGCCTCATTGATTCCAAGATGCTTTGGTGTAGCTTCCTCTCTGACATTCTGTGCTGAGAGGCACGGGAAGTAGGGAGAGGGCCGTGGGAGACCAACAGGTAGAGAAGGAATAAAAATATCTCTCTAAGCCCAATTATCCTTCCAAAAATTCTTGGGTTTAAACAGCATCATGTAGCTCAAGTTGCCTAACACAGAGGTCAATTAATACCACATCTTCGGGGCATCTTAGTTATTCTGGGTACCTGAATGCATTTTCTGGATCCTCCTGAGAGACTAAACATAGTGTGAACACACATCCCTACAGAGCTAAAGCCCTATGAGGTATTTGAGCATTGATTTTGGAAACGGTTGTTGAGGGAAGGTACTGGCCATGGTATGATTTCAGAGGAAGAAGATATTTAGAAGGTAGGAGAGGTGTCAAGTTTAGCTAACAGAAACAAAAGGAGTTAAGGTAGTAAAATCAGAAGAAATTGTAAAAGGTGTGAAAACATAACAAGGAGAATTAACAGAACCACCAGAGTGAGAGCAGCCAAGAGCACGGTACTATCTGACTAGATAGACTTAAAGGTCTCCTGTTTAACTACTAAGCATGCTGCACCCCCAGCCTCTTTTGCAATAGAACCCCCCACTTAGGATAATGGAATTATGATGGGAAAGGCCATATTCAAACGAGGTGAACAGTATCCAGAGGCAGAATTACGATTGTAGAACTGCACTGAAAAACCAAGCAAGATGATGAGAATCCTATAAAAATTATTAGGCTGTATATTTGCCGAAAGTATCTTTGATCCAATGTCCAATGAGAAACACTAGGAAAACATACATGTTGCATGAGTTATTTTCCCCATTTAAAGCCTATTCTCAAGTCAAATGGTTCAAACCGTTTTCATTTTCTTTTTTAGTGACTGATAGAAATCCATGACCTTTCGTTTCTAATCTGTATATGTGCACATTTGCAATGAATGTTTGTGCAATGTATTTTCCTAACAATCTACAGTCAAATTTCTGATGTAAGAAGCTCAATGTTCCTAACTGCATCACAAACTAGAATTAGCACTGATAATTCTGAAAGTAAACAAACCATTTTAGAGCTAATATATATCAAATTTTATATATTATATTATATATGCTAGGCTCTGTGAAGTTAAAAAATTCCACTTTCTACCAGTACTTCTTAGAAGCTATCAATACCAAATGTCTATAATAATTACAACAGGCATAACCTAGGACTGTCCCAGGTACACCAGATCCTATAATCACTCTACAGATGGGGGTCCCTGTGGCTGATGTTAGAGCCATCCAGGTTTTAGAGAACCATGGGCTTCAAGCCGTTGCTGAACCTAGCTGAAGACTCCCAACCAATCAACAATGGTACATTTTAAACCTATCATTTACAGACCTATAGACTCATTCTGACTTATCCTGATGGCTAGTTTTTCATTATTAATGGCATAACTGCAATGAGCTCCCCAACTTTTCTAGGACTTAAAAACTTTAGAGTTTTCCCTTAGTAAACTAAACACACACACACACACACACACACACACACACACACACACACACTGTTTAGCTTATTGGTTTTCCCTTGCCTGAAAAATAGTAAACATAGCCTTTACATTTTTCAAAGTTTTGGCAGGTCTTTGTTTTATTCCTTAATAATGCTAAGACCTGAGGGGATGGCGGGGGCGGGGCTGGGGTGGGTAGAGAAGCAGCAGCCTTGACAGCTGCCAATTACCTAAGCTATCAGCTAGCTACGGTGTCCCACTGGTGAATATAAACCATTTCACAGAAGGTTAAAACCAAAAGAAGGGCCCTCCACGATGGTGACAGAACAAGATGAGAGCCAATCAACAATTACACCTGAACAGAGATTTTTTTTTTAATTCTGTACAACCACAAAAATGACCCAATGTCATCCTCCCCTGTGAATGTCTCCTGCTGTTTCTCCGATAACTCTTTATTTCCCATCTGTTTCTCCACTGGCTAGATAAACACTAAGATGCCCAATGCTGGGATTGTCCCCACTTGCTGAGAGCACCCAATCCTTGGACAGACCCTCACTTCTTTAACCCACCCCACATCACCTAATCAGGTTCAAATCCTATAAGGAGCCCCCCTGCCATTCTTTTACTGGATGCCCCATGTAGTGTACAGACTCCTTCACTACAACACGTCTGTTACCTTCAGGTGTTCCTGGTGATCTTTGGCTTTTGGGCATCATCAGCCTTTTAAGGGAATTTTCTCATTTGATCCTTACAAAAACCTTAATATATTTTCTATTACTAATATTATATGAAACATTATTACATAAAAAAGATGTGATTTTATAGGATATATAAACTTAGGGTGGTTGAGATCTTTGCCCAAAGTCAAGAGCCTGCAAGGGGCAGACCAGGGGTTTTACGCAACGAATCCAACAAAAATAATGCAGTGAGACAAGAGTGATTGACAGCACACATGATTATATTGGGCTGTTGGAAAAGTCATGATGCATTTTTGCAATGAAAAACAGAAAAAATACAACATGACTTTCCCGACAACCCAATATATTAGGAGAAAACAAGCCAATGAGAAACATATTCCAGTTCTGACATAACAGCTGGCTCTGCTATGCCGGAGAGGAACTGGGCAGGCGTGGGGAGGAGTTGGCACTAGAGGAGACCCAAACCCTGGTCATGAGTGAGTAGAGTGAATATATCCTTATCCGAGCCAGGACACTGAGTAAAGAATGGTGATTATAATCATACACAACAGGCACAACCTGGGACTAGCTCAAGAAAAGCAGGTCGCACAGGGACCCCATAGGTGGGGTCACTGTAGTTGGTGTTAGAGCCCTGAAGTTGGGATAATAATTGGAGTCCTAGCCCTACTGCTCCAACTCTCCATGGTCAGAAAAGGTGGGGACCTGAGCAGAGTAAAGGAGGAGACATTTATAACCTACCTGCTGTTAGACACATCTCCTGAGGGAAAATAATGCCCAGACTGGAGGTCTACCGAGGGCCTAGGGATGGGGGCAGCTTGAGGTTGGGAGATGGGGAAGAAGTTAAGTGCTATTTCTTTTTGGTTTATACTACCTACATATTAAATAGGTCTCTTCAGTTTTTAAATGCCTGATGGGAATAGAGCTTAATTTGGTCAAAATATGTAGGTGACCTAGAGAAACAATGGATAAACTAATGTAGAAACCACTTGGCAAAAACTTTTAAGAGTAATTCTCAGCTTAGCTTAAAAACAATCCTGAGTTTATAGAAAAAAAACAACAACAAAACCTAACAACAAAAACAACTTTCTGGAATATTCCCAGCAACGTGAGAGACCTCACTCACATTTGCAACTAGACTACTTCTCCTAGCTCATTACAGCATATAAAATTTTACAAGTGAAAGTTTTCTGAATTATCAAATATTCTAGTTACCAGTAAACAATAATTTAAGGTGTCTTTCATAATTCAAAGGGAGCTTCAGAATCTTACTGTGTTGCAGAATTTTGTAACTAACTACATATGTGGCTGGAAGAGGCTTTTCATCTCATCTTGGAAAGTCTGGACCTTTTATGATTTGGCTTTATGATAGATGCATAAGTTATCTTATTAACTTACTGCATAGAGAGAGTTGGACCAGTGAGATCACCTAAATGAACTAATATCTCTGATTAAACTGGCATGCAAAAAATGACTAACATATAAAAGTCAGAGTTATGTGTTCTTTTTAATGATATACATTTGAGCTCAGAGGCTCAGGGAATGTTAGAAAAATAGAAAAAGACCACACAGTCCAACTCTACCATTTAACAGAGGAGGAAGGTTCAACAGTTTATGAGAAGACTCAGTTAAGAGTCACACAGCTGGGACATGTCTGGGTTAGGACTGGCCCTCACATCCACTAGCTCTTAGCCAACGTTATTTCCATTCAGCTCCATGCTTGAGGGACTAACTCTTATTTGCAAGGTATTGTTTACCATCAGAAAATTATATCCTTCAGTAATGATACTGGGTAATGTGGGCTTGGCCATGGTCAATGAATGTATTTCTCAAGAATGACAGGTGAATACCAATAGAAGGAACCATTGTCCCTATACTCTGCAATTTTAAGTCATGCTATAGTTAAAAGGTACTTTTTAAAAGGTACTGGCAACTCAGGGACCAGTGCTGAAGGCACTTACTTGATGGTGGCTTGTAGCTTCTCACACAGAACAGTAAGCACTGAGACAAGGTCATCACAGAGGGCCTCTACTGTCAACCCTTCAAACAGAGGAGGTTACAGGCATTAGACATGGGCAGGGGGCACTGGCAGCTCCCTCAACAGTCCTTCCCATCCTCCATTTTCGATGTCTTTGGGACTGCAAAGATGATTGTCAGATGCTGAGCCTTCTTTAGGCTACCACAACGATCACAGAAATGAATTAAATATAATAATTCCTTCCTAAAGTAAAACACTCAAAAGATAGTCCAGGAAGAAAACAATAGATTGTTTCACACTTAAAGAAAGGAAATTTGGTTAGTTTAAGAAACAACGCAACTGACAATGATTTTCTCAATATTTAGGCCAGTAGACCACACATGTATTCTTTATTCTGGCCTCTTGATTTTCTGGGTCTTCTGAGCAGACTTGAGTTGTATCCCAAATAAATAAAATATGGCAGCATAGAAGAAAGGTAGGCTGTTCAAACTAGGACGCTAAAAATAGGGCAGAATAACTTGGTCACCATCTTCACTCCCTTTAACTATTTGTTCAGCATCCTTAGGGCACATATTGGAGCAACAACAAATATAAAAAAAAATAATTTTCCCTCCAAACATGTTTGTATCCAGAAAGTAATAACAACACTCCCACAGAAGCCCTGGAGTATACTAAGAAAAGGCTGAAATTTGGAATCTGTTCAAGTACTGGTCCACAGCTTGCTGATATCATAAGCTTGGGTGAGCTTCTGTTTTCCCTTTGGCAAAATGAGATAAATAACACCAATTTCATAAACTTCTTGGACCAAGTGAAGTAACAAGTGGAAGCATTTATTTTTTTTTAAATAATAAAAACCTATAAAGATCTAGCAATGTGGCTAAGTATTTGATGATGTATAAATGAATGAATGACCATGAGGTCAAGGAAGATGGAGAAAAAATGGGAAGAGTGTAAAATAAATAAAAGTAAAGAAAAGAGTGTTAGAAAATAAAAGTGAACTTGGAAGAGGGCAGGGGAAAGAGAAATGGCTAAGTCTCAGAATTTATGATCTTAAATGCAGGAAAAAAATTGAGAAATGGTAAGGTACAATGACAAAACATAGTTTCAAATAAATAAAACCCATAAGTAGTCCTCAAACTCAGTTTTAGATACATTTCAAATGAGTCCACCATTTTTTACTAATACATGATTTTTAAAGATGTATCTTTGGCCAAGAGGACTTTGACCTCCTTTGGGTTTATAAAATCATTCTACGTTAAAGTGCAGATTTTATGGGAACCGCAATTGCCAAAAGACAAGAAAAGATAGGTGGAAAATGTTGGAACTTATCTTTGGGAGCTTCAAAAGGAGAAAAGAAACTTACAGCGCTTTCTGGCCCATAGCCCAAGAACGTAGTAAGATGTGACTAAAATATCACACTCAAGCAATGCTTTAGAAAATGACTCAAAGTCTTTCTCTGTCATTTCTTTCATTTACTCTTTTTCTCCTAATGTGGCCATTTAGCTGCTTCATTCTCTCCCTTTCATTCCCTCTTTTTCATTGTCTCTCTACTCCATCCCCGTTTCCGTATTATTAACTGGCAGAAATATCAAAGAAAAGCAGATTTTTGCAATATTTTTTAAATTACTGAATAAAATCTGAAAAACTTACATTTCCATTTTTAACCAGATAATTTGAATTTTCCATACCTCTTTCAGAAAACAATACTACCAAACATTTTTTTTTTAAATCAAACTGCTTGTCAATTATATGTGGGTCTCTATGTTTTATTTTCTGTGGGTCAGAATGAAAGTTTCTTACCTTGATTTCTGTCCTGCAAGATTCCCTGTGAGATGACTCATTTTTCATATCAAAAAGCTGCTGCTTCACAAACGTACTTTGGGTGCAATAGCACTTTATATCAATCAGGTTTCTGCAACCTTCTATCCAATTCTCATTTTAGCAATTGATAAACCTGACTTCATGAAGAAGGAAGTAACAAAAAAAAACAGTCCCCAACAGGAAGGTCTGTGAGGAGTTAATTTCCCTCACACAGTTGAAACAGGAATCAGTGGGCTGGCATACAGAGTGTAGGAACCGAAGAAAGACAATAGCTGGCTAAATCATACAACGTAAGGCAAAGCTGAACAGAAGCCCCAAGGAAAGCGGTGAACTACGCTGAGAGCACCTACTCATCTCTACGTCCCCAACACCACGCACACAGGAGGCGTTCTTATACCCACTTTTTAAACTGAACTAGCAAAAACCAAATCCAATACCTTGATTCCTGAATTCCTGTGGGACATCCGGGTTTTCAATTATCTAGTAAGAGAGACATACACAGGACAATTAGGAGATTCAGGCAAGATAAATTCTGACTCTTAGACAATGGAAAATTCTGGAAACAAAATGTCATTCTGAGTGTTCTGAGCTCAGCTAACTCACCCAAGCTCACCCTCCAGGTCTTGATAGCATTTCATTACTCATGGTATTTATGATATCTGGAACTGAACTTGTCAGTTCCAAAAATAATTCATTCAAGAGTCCACAAACTTCCCAGGAGTTTAAGCCTCAGGGTGTACTTTATGATTCCAGGGTGCTGAGCTATGACTTGGGGGCAATACCTACCTGAAGAGGTGATTTAAACCTTTGCACAGATAACAGTTTGTCCCAGGTCACAGACTACATTCTGATTGGCATCTAAGAATACATACTCTTAAGTCACAGAAGGATCACATTTTTGGACTTCAAAATACGGGTCCAAAAATGACCAGCTTCATATTTGATGGGGGAGCATATTAACTTCTATCTGTCTGACCAGACCCACTACTCCAGACTGTTGCTTGGTGCCTCCAGAACTGTCAGAATGCTGAGAGAAGAACGGAAAGGGAAAAGTATTTTCTAATAGTTAGACTTACTTCCCACTGAAGGGAGAATTTAGTGACTACTGAGCAGAAAATCGGACGGAAGCTCTTCAGTCTCCCTACCTCTCAGCATGGGAGGGAACAAGAGGGCATTTTCATGTTAATCAACTACCAGACGTATATGAGATGTGATAAAAAAATGTGGTGAGTGCTGCTGCCTGAGTGCCATCCAACGGAAAGGCAGGGATCTCCAATACGAGAAACGGCTCATTGACCCTTAGTAACAGTGTGTGACAAGTTTCCATTTGTTCAGTGCAGTCAGTCGGGTGGGAGCTATGGTTGAGAGAAGGTGTGTTTTAAAGAGGGCCATAAATCATGCATCATGAGCAGTGCATTAACATGAAATGGGCAAACGGTTTCATCCTCCATCATGATAATGCTCCGTGTCACACATCGCTTCTGGTACAGCAATTTCTGCCAAATAAAAACAGTATGGTGTGTTCTGTTCTCATCCACCTTATTCACTTATATCTGGCACCAGACAAGTTCTGGCTCTTCCCCAAAGTAAAAATGACCATGAAAGGTAAATGTTTTGAATGGATTAAAGACATCAAGGCAGCCATGACAGTGCAATTAAAGACACTCACAAAAGAGGACTTCCAGAACTGCTTCAGAAAGTGGCAAGAAGGATGGGATCAGTGTGTTTGAAGCAAGGGGGAGTATTTTGAGGGGATTAATGGCAATGTCTTTCACTGTAATCAATTTTTTTTTATTTAAATATTCACTGTATTTTTTTATCATACCTCATAAATCATCCCATGGTACTGTTTTTGGTGTTTTTTTTTTAACTTGCTATAGGCACATTATTTCTACCATTCTTCGTTCATTAATTTGCAAGCTCAGCTGCTTCCATGGCAGCATTCTTTGTGAAATGCTGCCAGTGTCTACAGCTTGACACATGACTAAATATAAATTCAGAATAACATTTTCTGGAGGAAATACATTTGAATCATTTTTAAGGACAGGAGAACCACCACCACATACCTACCCCCCGATACATACATGTAGCATTTTTTCTTTTTGAAATGAGTAAATTACAATTTAACAATGGTTTTTGTCATGTAAGTAATTCCATAATAAAGCTTGATAGTAACTCCGGGTTTCAAAGGATACAAAATCAAATTGCATAATCTGTACTGGGAGTATAGGTGAAGTGGGAATACACATTAGGTTAAAGATACATTTCATGCTAATGCTTTTGGCATTCTGGATTTATTTTCTTTCCATTGTATTTATGTCTTCCTAATTGTCAGATAGCCTGTAATGTCTTCCCAGTGATGGGTCATGCTACGCACCACGCACGTCTTCCCCAGGTAATGCTAAGTGTCCCATGGGAGAACACACAGCCTCCTTAGAGGGAACCTCACCATTCCTATGGGCCATTCCTCTTTAATAGCTTTTTTAAAATAACCATTCATAGGTGGCAAAACTTACGTCTCTCTCTAGTAGACATCACAAATGCTCCAAATATTACACTGAGAATTGCATTTTTCTGGGACATGGAGATATCTCCAGGGACCATATGAGTAACGGAAAGGAAACAACAGGAACTGCTAATTTTCTACCTAATTTGAAAATTACTAATACTCCAAGGTGAGGTGAGTCCAGGTAGGCTGTCACTGATGAACAGCACCAGAAGGCTGATTAGCCACATAGTACACAGGACAGGGGCAGATGACCCTTCGGTTTTATCTAAACTTCTACAGCTATACCTTGTCACCATGCTTACAAAAGAGCAACGTGAGCTAAAAGGCTGAGTCATTTTTTTTTTTGAAACCTAACACTCTCCTACTTAAAATTTAAAAAATAAGATTAAATGACTAATATAATTGAAATCACTTTGAAACGTCAAAGTTTTATTTAAATGTTTCATCTAAAAACATTAAGATGTCATTACCATTATAGTATCTCATCATATTGTCATTTAGCAAAGATGGAATATGACTGTAGGTTTATTTAAGGATTCTTGACCATCTTAGGTTGATTTCCATTAAAAATACTTTTTTCTTTTAACATGTTTTCTATTTATAGATTTGAATTTCTTTTAAACTAATATTGCTATACCACCATATTCAAAATGCTAGCATAAATGAAATAATTTTACTAAAGAGTAAGCTAATATAATAAAAATATCTCAAATTAAAACAATTACTTTTTTAATAGAAGGTTGGGCTTTAGAGATGGCAAACACAAAAGAAAAAAATGGATATTTGTGTTTTCTGATTAGTGTTGTTTTTATTTTCAACACTGGCTGCCAGAGCTCATATTAATAATAACTTAGCCTGAGAGTCAATTAGGAGACCAGGGGTTTAGTTTTGGCTCTTTCACTGATAATCTTATTAATTTTAGATTTCAATTTTATCTTTCTGGGCTTCATCTTCCTTATCTGTTTTATGAGCAATAAAAGCATTTAACCAGATAATTTCAAAGGTTCCACTTAACTCCATGACTTTCTAAAAATAAGATAATTGAAATTTAAAAAGTAGAAATATTTGAAGTTAAACATGAAATCTTAATTCCTGTCAAGTCAATTTCTGAAAAATTTCAGACTGCCACTGAGATTCCATATTCTAAACAATAACTAATGAAGTGTTAATTTCAGAGTACTTCTTGCAGACTTTAAAAGAATTTTCAACTGAATTCTTACAGAGGTAGATTTCTTTAAAAAAAAACAACACTAATTTTGAAAAGAAACCTTCTCCTCATTTACAATTCCAGATGATAATGTATACAAGAAGCCAATTACATTTACATTTTCCCAGGATCGCTCATTTTAGACAATCTGTTCAAGTTTAGAGCAAAAAGGTCCAGGAGGCTTTGATGGTAGAAAGAAGACAAACCCAGCTCTACCCAGGTTAAGGAGACCTTCTGCCACAACCTTTTAGTTAACAAAGAGAAACACATACGTCAAACCTCAAAGCATGTAATTAACTGTTATTAATTTTGTATTTACTTCTGGTATTTGTTAATATGTCACAATACTTTAATATAAAATTTTTCAATCTGAGAAGTTTTAAAGGAATGATTTTTAAAAGGTGAATTTTAAAATAATGACCTATAGAAATGACAGAAACAGCAAGGAAAAACAACTCTCAAAGCTTTAGAGTGAAATGGGCACATACATATTTAAAGAGCTTAATTTATATAAATAAATGTCCTTCCAAACCAAGCCAGCCTTCCTATTGTTTCAGTAGAAACAGTCCTGGCAAGGGTGGGGGTGCGCAGGGGTGGGGGTGGAGGGCATGTAGGATGTGGGACACACAGCATGCAGTTACACCGAGACATGGGCAAGACTAGGGTGAACACGTCGATAACGCAAGGCTCACCGTATTCTCCTGCCTTTGACGTAACTGTAAGGTCAAGTCACTCAGCATCTGACTGAGAGTTGCCCGCACAGCCGTGTTTATACTACGCTGGTGACAGCTACACATGTATGTCTCAATACACACCTGGTAAAGAAATAAGAGCAACATACACGCTCTGTAGGTATCAGTTCATTACCATCATGCTTTGGAATTGAGAGGATATTAAGCCCCTCTTAAATAGAAAGTCAGCCTGATTTAGGACTAGTTATCAAAGCGTCCTAAAATATTTAAACTCCCCAAGACCTTGTTTTTAAGCATTTGTTTTCAAGCTTTAATAGTTCCATAAAGTTGATCACTCTTAGAAGCTCATTCTTCTGAGTATTATAGGAGAATACAAATTAGTGATTTTCAGATATGCCAAATAATTCTATCTAGAATAAACTCAGGCAGGTGGGAATTAATGAGAAAAGCTCCCTCTGTGGCAAAATAGAAACAGATTTACTAACTCCTGAGTTATGAAGTGTGGGGAAAGCATTAATGAAACCCTTTCTCCTGTTCTATAAACAAGTTTGACCTGGGATTAACCCTCTCTTGCTGTGTTCTGCTGGAAACTTGATAAAAAAAACTTGATAAAAGTGGACGTCAGCTGTGTTACTAGGCAGCGAGGCTTATGGTAAAATGTCCCTGATTACTAAGCTGCATCTGAATTGGGAAAACTGGGAAGGAACTATAAAAACCTGGTAGGAAGTCACAGCTTTGAGCTTCCCTGGGTGACTGTTCTCATTGATCATGTCCTTGGAGGGAACTCTGCAAACTGTACTCATGAAGTTATAGAAATATTGGTTCCTATATGCAGTTGACCCTTGAACAACATGGGTTTGAACTGCCTGGGTCCACTTCAATGTGGATTTTTTTCAAATTTATGGTATTGATAAATACGGTACAGTATTATAAATGCATTTTCTCTTCCTTATGATTTTTCTTAACATTTTCTTTTCTCGACTGTACTTTATTGTAAGAATACAGTATATAATCCATATACAAAATATGTGTTAATTGACTGTTTATGTTATTGGTGAGGCTTCCAGTCAATAGTTGGCTAATTAGTAGTTAAGCCTGGAGGGAGTCAAAAGTTACATGTGGATTTTTAATTGTGTGGGTGGGCAGTGCCTCTAATTCCCATATTGTTCAAGGTTCTACTATAATTGAAACATGGGGCTCCTAAGCCAAGGTGACTGAACCCACTGAGGTGGCTCTCATCTTGCTCCTAAACTGACACCTGACAGCCAGAGACTAGCCTCTAGACTGCTGTGAGGACCCGTGTGAAAGATAAATGCCTGCCATTGCCCTGCGTCTGTCCCCTGTTCCATACCCTGCTGAGGGAATATAATGCCAGTTGTGGCCTACTTCAGTCTTGTGAGTCTGAAGATCCAGCTGAACCCCATGGCTGCAACATGGAGAGATTCCATTTTGAAAAAAAAATCCCACATTGGAAGATGGTGATGTTAAATGTCATGAATTTTCAGATTTTATTGCCTCTAATTCCTTTGGAAGATATAGGGATGGGCGTAACAATAAATGCATGCTTTAAATTTGTCCACTTTTTTCTCTCCATAAAGTTTATCCTTTCCATTTTACCAAGCATATTTAGACCCACAAAAAGAAAACGAAGGTATTTAATGTACCTAAATTATTTTTCTAGGAATAACTCCAGGGTTATCTATAATGAAAACACTGGATTCTCACCTAAATGGCAAATTTAATTTTACGATATCTGAGATGGGAGAGAGATTAAATGTTCACCTTTGTTGTTGCTACTGTGTATGCTAGAGTTTTCTGCCAGGCCTCTCTATGATAACCTTTTTGGTAAAATTAGCTAGGTAAAAGTAAATATTTTCTTACAGTTTAATATATCTCCTATTGAATGCTTAATATTCCAAATGAGCATTTAACCCTCAAAAGTGTGTTTGGAAGTTGGCCTAGATTAATTCATTTTAAGTGAAAAAAAAAAAAGAGCAAATTGCAAAATATTTATTTTTCAAACTACCATTTAGGGCATGTTAACTTTAAATTCATTTTTGCAAATGATCATGGATTTGTAATATACTTGAAGGTACAATCTAAAAATACTTAGAAAAAAAGGAGTTTTAATCCTGAAAGACCTTTACTTTTGCATGTGATAAAATGGTTCATAAGCCTTGAAAATACATCTAAATGAGTGGGGTGTTTCACTTTGATGAAACCAAATTCTCTACAGTGTAATTAGGCACTCTAGTGCTATTTATACCTCAGAATTTAAGTTTTCTTTAAATCTTACATTCTCCCAAGAAATCTTCATAACCGCTGATCTTTGAGATCCACAAGTTTAAATTTAACAAGGAATGTGAAGTCTTAGAAGCATTAAAGATGAAAGAGTAGCTATTTTGAGAGCTGAACTACACACTTGAATATAAACACAATTCTGCTGAATACTAAGAGCCATACCCACTATAAAACCTTCCTTAAAAAATTATATCAGTCACTGTAGACCCATGAAAGAGAGCACATGTGAGGAACTAGATTTTAAGTAACAGACACAGTGCTGTGTACAGGCAAAAACTTCCCAAACCAAATCTATCTGACTTTTAATATCAGCACCGCTTTTATTGTTTAGAGGTATAACAGTGGAAATGGCTTATTGCAGGAGGTATTTGCTTAAGGGACAAGGTAAGCATGTTTAGTCCTTTTTTTAAAAAAAGGATTAATCTAAGAAGCTCATTCTGCCAAAGTTGGGAATATAAATACTGCATGTGACAAAAGGGTCTCGTTTTAAATATAAAAATGAGCATGTACCTGACAATATTGCTATCTTTAGGTACCCAGAAAGAAGTGCTTCTCAGCTATCCTGACATCTTCTGAAGAAGTTTCTTACACTTGCTAAAATAATAATGAATTGGTAAAACGGTATGGTTCCCAGAATGAGGGTTTCCATGATAAACCTGACCACTGTCTTAAAGACCAATGATTTTTCACTTTGTGAATGTTTTTCTTTTTCTACTTTGGGGCAGTGTTAAAAGGAGCACATTGAATTGAGAAGCTAAGAGAATACCAAGTCCATAAGCAGGCTGAGTTTCTGGGAAAGGGCTCACGATTTCTTCTTTTTGTATCTCCAATGTCGCTTCTACCTTCCATGCCCTCTGCTTTCGTAGTGTAGAATTGATACTTGAAAAGCCTCAGTCCTGCACCTCTGCCAGAGGCTCAAAGGACCAAATCAAATACCTTGTGAAAAGCCACAGGCCCCTGATCGCCAGGGAACACACGAAGACACAGGGCAGTGAGGAGTTTCGTAATGGACATTTTGATCATTTCATGCATTTGTGGACATCCAGCTTTACGGCATGCTAAACACAACTGAGGGCAAAAACAGAAATTGTTAGTGAAGCAAAACAAACCCCAACAGCAGCAGGTGGAAAAAGAACAAAATAAAACAAAAATACAAGTCTGCAAGCCATACGTAGCAATCAAAGTTTCAGATCATTGAGCAAGTAGACTGATAAATAACAGTACTAGGTTAAACCCAGGGTGGAACCATTATATTAAATATGAAGCAGTATAGTGGAATGTAGCAGGTGTGCAATATTGGCCAGAGTGATGAATTTTGAAGACGCTTCACAATAGAAATTTGCTTAGCTTTGCAAAGTATGTATGACCTTCACTTTGTTGAACTGTGCACTTACCTGCTCTTTCCTATCTGAATGGGGTTAGTGGCGCAGCTTTGTCAAAACAGTGCATGCTATTCAGTAACAAGGCCCATAAAGAGAAGAGCTAGTATGTTTCCACTTGGGAAATTTTTATGGCAATAAAAAAATAGAAAGGATCAGAGATTAAGCTACAAGAAAACAGAACTATCTTTTATATAGGGAAGACTATGAATGCTTGTTGATCACATTAGAACCAAAGAAAATTCTGATTAACATTACAGGTCTAAACTCTATGTTGAATCATGATGACAGCTCAGTGGCCAGGCTGCTTCCAGGTGAACAGCAGCAACAGGTGAGTATGTGACAGGAGGCACCTCATCAAATGGGTCTTGTTGATGCAAACACACATGCGCGCACGCGTGCACACAGGGTGAACTGAATTTGTTTTATTATTCCTTTGACACATGTGTATAAGTAAGTCTGATCACCATGAGTGGGTAGAGAAATTTGCTGGGTTTTCTTTTGGATCTCAACTTAAAAGGAAATTCTTAAAGTGCCAAGGAGGGCTGGTCTAGTGGTGCAGTTGGTTAGGAGTTGGCTTGGGATGCCAGCTCTGAGCAGCAGGGCCCCAGTTTGGATCCCACATGAGGGCCAGTGACGCTGCGCCCTCTATAGCCGAGATGGTGAACAACAGCTCGACCTGGAGCTGGGCTGTCCTGAGTCGCCGGCGACGGCGTAGGCTGCAGTGGGGCTGGCCGGCAGCGGGCATGAGCTTTCATGAGCTTCCATGAGCGGCTGGCCAGTGGCCGGTGACCGATTGCCTCACCCGGGAAGAGCGCAATAATACCAACATGGGCCAGTGAAGCCACGTCCTCCACAACTAGACTGAAGAACAAAAGGACAGCAATTTGTCTGTTCCCCTTCCCCAATTTCCCAATAAAACCTTAAAAAAAAAATTAAAGTGCCAAGGAATACATAGCACTCTGATTGTCCCTTCCCTCTTCTTCCTCCATATTTTTCTTGGCTTAGCTGACTATTAAAATGGATTCAGACACCTCAATCCATCAATTCCTGCACCTACTCAGGCAAAGCCTTCTGTTTGGTCTACACAGGGCCTACTGAACTCTAGTCTCTGCCCTCTGACCCAGCCCAAAGTGAAGTAGAGAGAATCTCTACATTGCTCTATGTGTCTCCTAATTCCAAATAAATTCTTCAAGAGCCATACAAGTCAGAGGCTAAAGGGAAATGTGGAAATTCCTTGCAAAAGGACTAGTTTGCTCAAAGTCACCTGGTACTGAGTAGCCAAAGAACAGGCACCTCAGAGAAGTCAAACGAGAGACAGTAAAAGAAGACTGGCCCACAGCGGAGAAATGGAAGGGTTTCCAGAAGGAAAAGTGGAGCTAAACTAAACTCTAGATCCTGTGTTGGTAACATAATGCTCAGAAAAGATAAACTGAGTATCAATATGTAAAGATACCCAAGAAAGTGGTAGATGCCTAATGGTCACCTGAACATATGGTCACAAAAAAAAGTGAAATTCATCAATACTTCTACTTCACATGTAAAAACACCATACAGCCATTATCTAACTAAATGTCTGTTAAAGGTCCAAGGTAGATAAGACTTCTAAGATTTTTAGTGGGTTGCCGATATTATTATGGCAAGATTCTACTGCCATTTTCTAAGATGGAGATTACCAGGAAGCAATACAGCATAGTGGTCAACAGCACATATTTGAAATATCAAAAGTTTGGATTTGAATGTCTAACTATAGAAATGTGGTTAAATCAACCTCCCTTTTCTTGGGACTCTTTCTCTACCTTGGCTGTGATAAAGCTTAAAAGACAATGTGTGTAAAATGCTACTTATTGTCATGCCTTAGGGACTCAACTACTAGTAGCTACTATTATTTTTTGTTTTGGAAATTGAGGGATAAATTGATAGATGAAATGAACAGAGGAAGGTCCCTGAAAGTAAGGATCTTAAAGAGTAAATCAATGGTCTTTGAGAGAGACTTTGCTTCAACCTGACAGCATGCTAAAGGATCAAAGACTAGAACTTTCCCATGAATCAGTAAAATCAAACCAGAAGATACACGTTTATGAACTGGGCTTTCTCACTTTAAGAAAATTTTATGAAGGAGCCTCAGCAGGCATGAGAATATGCCCCAAGTCTTTCCAACGGAACAACATAATTAACAATCTTCAAATTAATATTCCTAGAGCTTCTGGCTATGGAATCACCTCTTCCTTATCCCCGAGACCTTGGCAATTTTTATTCCCACAGCTTTTCCTGTATTAAGGTAACTAACCTTAGAAAACTCAACATATCTGCTAACTTGGGCATCAAAGGTTGAGAAATCTTAGGCCCAGCTTTCAACCAATGAAAAGAAGAATTATGTATCCATATGGAGTTTTAGTAATGGTAATTCATAAAATTGAAAAGAAAACCCATGTTGGATATGTCATACTTGTCCATTTCTAAATTTGGTGATATTTCTTATTCCTCCTGTATCATGGAGGACAGCTGTACTGAAAAACTTTCATTATTGCAGTTTAATTAAGCGAGCTAAGTTAGATACACAAACAAAGGCTGCCCTCTTATTTACATTTTAAATGCTTAATGATCCTTTTATATAGTTCCAGCAGTACCTTGGGGGAAGTAGCCTCATTTTTCATACTTAAGTACACATTCCATTTCCTGATCAACAGGTTTCAGGGTAAGCACTATCCTTGAGTAACAGTCAGTGTAGACCGGAGTATGAAAGAAGAGAACATCTGGATTCTTTCCCAACACTTCCACAGCAGTTTTAGACAGTTTGATTAAAGGCGTTTTTTGTAACTTGTTTTCCTTGCGATATCAAAAGTGACAATAGGAGAAAAGGTCATTTTTTTTTTCTTTAAGTTGAAGACTTATCTTTATAAAAAGTTCAGAGATACAACCAAGAAAGCTTCCTGGAGCTAAGTGGTAGTTTTAGGCTGAAATGTCCTGCTTTAAAAATAGAGAGGCAGATTTTCAAAGGCTAAATTAGCAGGTGAAAAGCACTTGAGAGCCTGCAAAATCACTGGGTTTCAGTAAGGCTGCGGAATACCATTATATCCTGTGGTATTATAGCTCTCTTTTGTAGTTCCTTCTTTTTGGTGATGAAAAAAGCATTTCTTAAGTGACTTCTATGGTGAAAACTGAAAGGCTATATAAGCTATGTTGCAAATTCGAGGAAATATAAAATGAAGGCCTGTAAGAAAGATGTTTACTCCTATTCGTGTATCTGAAATAAACAATGATTTCAGATGATTCTATTATTATCATTTCTCTGATTACCTACACATTATTCATTTAATAATCTAATAGTCATAATTACTGAACCATATGCTTACATTTATAAGTTGCTATACTCTTCATATAAATAGATCTACTCTATGCTCATCTTATGCTAGGTTACATAATATGGATTGAGTGGGGGACATTTCCTCTTTTTTTTAAAGGCAGACACTCTCTTATTGGTGAAAACACATATACTCTGAAGGGACAATGGGATAGATAGCTCTGTAGCAGAATCAACTGTTAAAGCAACTGTTAAGAAATACGTTTGATATATTAATATATCAAGAACTCACAAATGGGAAGGAGAAAATGTGGAGATGATCTGACCCCTGCTTAATTACCTGCACAATGACATTCTGCTGGGAACTCTTTTCCAACTAGGGGATCTCAGAGGGCTGTAGGTGGCACAAGAAGAGGGAGAGAGCTTGTTACACACTCTCAGGAAGCTGCCCCAATCGGTGCCCCATCCTTCCAGGGTCCTGGCCAGATTAACATCATGTAGTGGTAACGGGGACACCATCGTCACTATAGCTCCATAACAACCGTAGTTAACATCGGCCAAGTATTTACTACGTGGCTGCACCTGCACAGAAAGCTTTTTACACGGATTCTATTTTTCTTGTCTAATTGGCACAACCGCACTACAAGATAGCATTGCTTTTCCAGAGAACAAGCAGGAAGCCCAGGGGTTGCCTAAGGCAACATGGCTGGAAGGTGGCAGAGCCAGATTTACATCTAAACAGTGGGACTCCAGAGCCCCTGCTTTTACCACTAAGCCCAATGCCTTTATCTGTGCATCGGTCTTGGGCTGAGATTTTCTTTAAAAAAAAGCTTTGCTTTTCCTTTATAGGTTTTGGTAGAGACCACAGTGTTTTGCTGTTTCATCCTATCTGGTCAGGATTGCTGAGTCTTTACTCTGACTTAGGTGGTCCATGGCAGTTTAGGAATTACACCTGAATCTTTCAGATTTAAAAACTGGTTCCCTGAGAATGATAAAAGCAACCTAGTCCTCCTTTGGAGGGGCAGCTTGGAATCCCTGGAGGCCTCCCCCCTCTCCTGAGGGTCCTGCAACAACCTGTGCCCTTCCCCCAACCCAACCCCCTACCCCCCCAGCTCCATTGGCAGGGGGACCAGCTGGGCAGTGACACACTGTGTGACGCTTCTTGTCCTTCACATGGCAACAGGCCTCTTACATGCCAACTCTATTTCTTGCTCTGATCAGAAATTACATATGCCATTTTAAAAGTAACAGGGGTATCTAAAATAGTCAAATTCTGAGAAACAGAGTAGAATGGTGGTTGCCAGGGGCTGGAAGGAGGGGGAAATGGGTATTATTCAACAGGTATAAAGTTTCAGTTATGCAAGATGAGTAAGTTCTAGAGATCTGTTCTACAACATTGTGCCTATGTACAGTTAACATTACTGCATTGCACACTTAAAATTTTGTTAAGAGGGTAGATCTCATGTTAAGTGTTCTACCACAATCAAAAAAAGTGAACCTGAAAATAATAAGAGCACTCACAGGTATCTCTTAAAATTCAATTTAAAAATACTGATAGCTATGCTATTTTTTTACTTACATAGAGTAAAACATATATGTGTTAAAGAAAAATGTTCTTTTTACCTATATAAATACAGATTTGAGAATTGATTTATATTGTAATAAGAGGTCAACTAATTGCTCCTTTTTATTTTGATAGAAACATAAAAACTGTTCTGTGTGCTCAAAAATAATTTTCCCTTAATTTTCAGCCTTTAATGGCACACAATACTGTAAAAGCCTGTATTGGCCAATATAAATACCTATGTGAGACAATGGATATGTTAATTACTTTGATTGTGGTGATTATTTCATAATGTATACATATATCAAAACATTGAGTTGTACAGCTTAAATATATGCAACATTTATTTGTCAATTGTACCTTGATAATGATGAGAAAAATGAAGAAAAAAGTGCCCAAAGTACTTAGCTTCCACCTGGTATACTCAGTAAATGGTAATCTTTACTGTAAAAACAAATACCCATGAGCACTACTTGGCTTTCTTTTTCTCCATTATTTCAGAATTCAGAGTATCATTGCCTCTTTAAGGTCTAAACGTGTACATTTGTCAAAACATACAAATCCTGAAGATTTTCTTTGCAAGAAATGGAAGGAAAACTATTCTAAGCATATTGAAGTACAGCTTTGGAATGATAATATTTCCAAAAGCCAAAGGCATATGCCAGACAGTCAAGAAGCCAAGTATTCTGTGGGACATACTCTTGGGGGTGCTGGAAGGTACTTATTACTCTAGGCTGCAATAGAGATGGAAAAGAGAAGGCTTTCCAGTGACAGCTACAAAACACATTCATCAGGGTTTAGGAGACGGAGATGGACTTCAATCAATAAACATCTCTTTAAATATCATGCTTGGTTTCTTAAAAACCTTTTTTTTTTTAATTCAAATGCCTTTCAATTCATCTTAGGAAAAACACACAAAGAAAGTAATACCTAAGTGTGGCCAAACCTAAGAGTTGGGAGAACCAGTACTGTTATTTGCATGGCTAAAGCCTCAAATTAAGCAAACCAAAGCATGCAGAGCACCATGACTTAGGACAGTGGACCCCAGAGGTTGCTCCCCACAGATCCAGTCCTTAATGGAAACTCCCCACAGTCATGATCAGAGAAGGGCTCGCCCCACTGCTGGGCTCAGCTCCACCCTAATATCAATCCCAGATGGAGGAAAGCAGCTGTGAGCAAGCAGCGCTGGAGGGCTGGGGGAGCAGCGAGCACTCACCTCCGCGATCTTCAGCACTGCACTCCCATTCAGGTCAAAGGTCGGGGTGTAGGTTATGCAGAGTAAAACCTTTACCAATCAGGAAGGGAAGGAGGAAGGAAGAGAGGAGGGGTTAAAGAATTAGAAAGCAATTTTTATTCCACATGCCCTTTGTGCCGTCCTGTTTATGACTCCTTTGTTCTGTGCTTCATCTAATGTGTTTCTGTCCCAGCCACTGCTCTCGAATTAGTGGCCACCCATGGTCCAATAAAATGGTGACGAATACTTTAAAAAGTAAAGGCTGCTACCCTCGCCCCCCAGGGAAGGGCCACTGCAAGACTCATCCTCACCAACTCCAGGATATCTGTCCAATAATAACAAAAACCAAACGGCAGGCTCAGTGCTAGGCACTGTACACGAATTATCTAGATTGATATTTTTTAGTAGGTGTCATTATTATTGTCCTTATTTTACTGATAAGGAAACTGATGCTCAGAACCATTAAAGAAGATACCCCAGATCACTCAGGCAATAACTTGTGGAGCTGAGATTTGAACCCAAGAAATCTGACTCCATGCCCTGAACCACTACGAAATATTGTCTCTACCTTTTGGTAGACCCAGGCATCACTGTACTTTTCTGTTCTTGTCCCCTCCCCAAATCCACATGAGATTACAAATTCCTTAACGGGCATTTTCCTCTTCCTTCCTGTAATTTTCCACAGAATGCTGCCCAGGATGTATTTATTAGTCCCAGGTTTCCCTTATTCTCCAAGATATATAGACAGTGAGTCGATGACATTTGAAAGATCTTTAACTACCATTAGACATTTCACTTTCTACTTGTAGAGCTATTAAAGATAACAGATGGATAAAAGCCTGTGGCATTTTAAGATTTGCTTCTAATTTTGGAGATAAGATGCCAGACTCTCTCGTGTCCATTTGGCTTCTGACGCTGTGACTTTGCACGCTGATAGGCTGAGACGTAAAAGTGCTGAGTCTGCTCCTTTATCCCAAACCCAACAACTATGCCCTGCCTGCAGTTTGGCCTGTCAGTGTCTGAGGATGTTTCTTATCTGGTTCTGCCCAGTTCATGAAACAGCACTCAAGCCTAGCAAATTTACCTAATCCAGGATATACACCTAATCAGCCCCCAAAAGTGCAAGTGTTCAATGGCACAAAGAATCTCTCCTAATCTCTCAGTCTCAGTCACCAGCTAGGCCAGTCCTAGGAATAGTCTCCCCTTTGGAGAAACCAAATACATATGTAATTAAAGAAGGAAAAAGAGATTTTTGCCAATTTAGTCACAAGGTTAGATAAGTTAATTGTGGGTCTGCTCCTCAGTTTTTTGATCCTTAAACTGCCTGATATTCAAAAGTTAATTCCTGATAAAAATCATCTCAATGCCATGCTGGATATAGGAGAGAGGGATTATGGGAGCAACTGCCCCATGGCCTCATGAGAATGGCTTTCTTTTGTTTAATTACTCTCTTTTCAGGGTCAAGGTCTGATATGCAAGAAGGGATGAAAGCTGAGGATAGTAGTGCCACCAGGACCTATCTGGCCTGGGGAAAGGTTACAACGTCTAATACCTCTGTACTTGGTGGCGCCTTTGCCTCTGAAACCCTTCTTCCTTGGCTTCTTCTATGCTTGTTTCTCATGTCACTCACTTGGTTGGCTTCTTTCAGGTCTCAACTGAAATGTCACCCCCTCAGAGAGGCCACTTTCACTGATCACCCTCTCTAAAATGGCCTCTATCACAACGCCTTGTTTCATTTACTTCAGAGCACACATCAGTCTCATAAGCTGGCTTATTTACTTATTTATAATCTTCCCATTAGACTATACCATCCATTGAGCATCTGAAAGGCCCTCACGGCTTTCTCGTGTGATGCTTTCTTACTTTGACTTTTTGCTACCTTGCACAGCTTCTCTTTCTTGTGTTTTTTTTGTTTTTGTTTTTCCCCCACCATGTTTCATGGCAGACAGGTGGGAGGGTATGAGAAAATGGCTGGCGGTGGTGGTGGTCTGTGGAGGTAGAGCCGTGAATTGGTCCATCTGGGCTCTTAGTTTTTAAGTATCCACAATAAAGACTGGCAACTGGCAATTACTTACAATATGAAAATAATGATGGCAAATACTTGTCTGAACTGGATAATTAATAACATTGCTTATAGGATTAACGATCAACTTTCTGCCTTTCTTCACTGCTTGCATTCATACAAAGTACACAAGACCAGGTTTGGAAAGAAGTTTTCAAAAACCCAACCCAGTTTTCCGCGAGGAGTGGCTGGAAGAAGTGAGAACAGTGCCTAAGGTGAAATCTTTGTGAAGGAGGTTGAGTTGGTGGTATTTGGTAATCAAGGGTCTCAGGAGAACAGGGCAGGCTCAACTCCCTCTGCCACAGGGAAGCCAGAAAGCGTACAGGGAGGCCTTGCGGCAAGAATCTGCAGGAAACAGGATCCCTACAGCCCGCCAATGCTGATCGGGTCCAAAAGGTTTTTTAAGGAAGGCTCTCCACACCTAGTATCTGGCCACCAATATCCAAAGACTCATGAGCTATATGCAAAAGCTAAGAACAACAAACATAATGAAAGGAAAATGAAGCACATTAATGAAGCTAGCTACTTAAGCTCATATACAGGTTGCTGTGTTGGAAGCACAGCAGGTTTTAATTACAGGGCTGACAGTACCCATGGGCCCCTCATGACTCACAAGATGCGAGCTTAGAAAGGGCACACGGTGTCTAGCAAAGACGATGCAGCAGATAGAAATGACTTATTAAAAATGATAGCTGGAGAAGCAGTTCATGTGCCCAATGCCTAGCAAGCATTCATTCACTGCATTAAAACACAGACTGGGAGTAGAAAACTTAGGGTGGCAGCAAATTAATTTAAAGTGTCTGAATTCCATTGCATAATGAGGGGCAAAAAGTTTAAATTTATATTCTGAGCATGTTGTCCTCAAGGAAAACAGGAGTACTTAAATATCGAGGGCAATTCCATTAAAAATACACCCCTGACAGGGCCATGAAAGCATATTGACTATATTATCACCAAATAGCAGGAACTTGATTGATGGAGAGGCAGCATCTTGCAATCGAGCTTGCTGGCACTGCCTCCATAAATGAGCTAAGAGGATAGAGAAAATAAGCACAAAGTCTTCCATGCAGAGGGAAAACTCAAAGGCTACAAAAACCCCAATTATTAAAAAAGTAATTGACTAGCTACTATGTGCAAACAGCAACCTCTCAATTTAAACTGTGTATAGAAACGCTGAATGGAAAAAAAAGACTGGAAAAAGAGAAATGAAACTGATTTTTTTAAAGAACTGGCAGAAGGGATAAGTTTCTGGCCATTTGGATATGCCAAAGAGAAGCCATAAAGTGCTTCATTTAAGTGGAAAGGTATATATGTATAGGAAAAAAACATAATATATATAGGGTTTGGTACTCTCTGAGGTTTCAGGCATCCACCGGGGGTCTTGGAACATATTCTCCATGTATAAGGAAGGGGAAATTACTGTATATAATAACTTTGAAGACATCATAACTTTGGAGAAGAGAGACTTCACAGATTAGATGTGATACGAGCAAAGCACTGATACAGAAGAGAAAAGGGAGAGAAATATGTACCAACAAATGAAATGTCATGAGTAAAGGCATGGAGTGTGAAGGTAGAGACTAGAGATGATGCTATTATAGAAAGCAGGATGGAACCTTACTGCACATCAATTTAAATGCCCTATGCTAAGTGCTTTGCACATATTATTTTAGGGCTGGTCAATAAATCACAGTGAAAACTAGATATACTAAAGAAATTGGAAATCAGAGTAAAAAAGCACACACTTAATAAGATGTTGATGAAGTTAAAGACAGATTCTAGTCATTCCAGTGACAATGAATTAGTGGGTCCATTTGGCAAAGGGATGCAAGGAATTCCCAAAGTAGAAGGCAGGGGTCACCTGTACGTATGTGAAACCTGGGTATCATCCTATCACTGTTCTCCCACCTACTTCCTAACTCCAGTCAATCTGGCTGAAATCGCTCCTCTCTCCCCTATTCCCATATGTTTCATGGAGCTTTATATGTATTAGATATTAATAAAGTAAGATATTTTGGAGAGCAATGACATATCTTGTTCAAAATGCATAATACAGATATAACTGCTATAAATGTGACAATCACAGAATGAGCAAAAAATGCAAGAGGCTTATTCTACAGCATTTATTTGGAACTGTTTAGATAAACTACTTAAATCTGTGTGCCCTCTCCACCCTCATTAGATTTATAATCTTCTTAGTACTAAGGTCTGACTTTCTGATACCCTCCATGTTTACAGCACCCTGCTAGGTGCTGGGAGGCATGGTTGAGTCCTGGCCCAGGCTCAGTTCCTCCTATGCCCTGTCCACATGAGTGATCAACCTCACAGATTATCAGTGGGACTGTACACCTATGTGCCTCGTCATTGTTGTAACACGTGTAGATAATATGTGGAAGAAAATTGTCCTGCAAGTCTGAATGTCAGATTCAGGTGGTGTGATTGGCTAAAGGCAATTTTTGTAATGACATAAGGCAATTGGAATTTCAGATGGCCTGATTAGGGCAATCAAAATTTAGTAAGCCTTCTTTCAGGATGTTCAACCATCTGGCCGGACCTCACTCTAGACATGGGGAAAACCAGCTCTGCTAACCAGAGTGTATCTCTCATAAGATTTATGGAACACTCCCCCACCTGAAATCTCCTGCTAGGCTCTGCTGAGAGCCTGTCTTTGGCACTTAACACAGTAAATGGTAACTTGACTAGGATTTGTGATTCAAAGACCTCATTTCCGCCAATGTTCCAAATGAGTCCTCAGCAGGACCATTTCCAGACAGTCTAGAAGTGATTCTTGAACTTACTAGATAGCAACTGCATGTCCACTTTACATCTACCTGTGTGCTGCATTACTCAGGCTTCCAGGCATTTATTCAACAAAGGTTTAGTGAGGTGTTGGTTACCAAGGGGTCAGATTTCGTACTAGGTGTTGGGCATATAGTAGTGAACAAAAGAAGGCACCTTGATCCCTGATCTTGCAGGGCTAACATCTGGT